CGCTGGATGTACTGGCCGAGGTGACCTGCCTGGATGAGCTCTTCGATACGGTCCCGGAGCGTGCGACACTCTTCCGTGGTGTGACCGTGGTTCCTGTGGTACCGACAGTGCTTAGACTTGTCGGCACTGTTGGGAGTGTGACCTGGTGGTGAAAGGGCGAGTAGGTTGTTGTTGCTGGCTTCTTCCAGGATGTGGAGTCTGGGTGCGTTCAGGGGAGTGTAGAAGTCATATCTCCCCCCTCTGTTTGCCCTAGTCAACTTCTTGAACTGGCTGTCATTGTTGACTTTGATCTTATCGTTGTGCCCCTGTTCTGGCTTCGCTGGTCCTTTTCCGCGAACCTGGTCACGGAAGGCAGAGTGTCCCTCCATCTGGATGTAGCCTGCAGCGCGGGTGCGGAGCTCGTCCATGTCGCGGGGAGACTCACGACACAGGCTGTCGACGAATGGCCCGGGCTTGAGTGCCATGAGCATGGCATGTAGGGCGACCTCGGGATTCAGGTTCCTGATCTTGATCGAGGAGGCAGCGAATCGTTCCATGAACGCCCGGAGTGGTTCGTCGTCGTTTTGCCTGAGACTGGCCAGGGCGGCTGAAGTGACATGGTGAGGTCGGCTCGTCGCATATTACGCGGTGAACCTATTGAATAGGGTGACGAAGCTGTCAATGGACTCGACAGGCAGTTGGGTGGTTCAGTTGAGCGCGACCCCCTTAAGTGAGGTCGGAAACACCTTACACAAGATAGCATCATTTTTAGTGTCGAGATTTACCTGTGTTGTGTACAGGTCGATGTGCTCATCCGGGTCCGTCGTGCCATCGTAGCGGTCGAGGTGGAGAGGCTTCCACCCGTGAGGGAGTGGTGTGATAAGTCATTATTTTCCCTTACTTTCTTACCTTTCTGTACTTATTTTAATCTCTGATTTGTGCTTAATTGTTTATATTCTGTTCTGTTTTCTATTTGGGTTTTAATTGGACAGATAATTCATATTTTAACTAATTTGAATTTTCTGAATCTAATTATTCCAAATTTTTATTTTCAGGGCAGTTTAATAATTATCTGGGCTTGGAATTAATTTCTAGACTTCAAGTGGAGTTGTCACGTCATCTGCCACGTCATCTGCCATATCATTGCTGCACCATTTTCCACCTCAACATTTAATTGCAATCTGTATTTTATTTTATTGTATTATTGGGTCAGACTTGTATGGTAGAGGGGCCCAATTTCGTTTTAGGTTTAGGGCTAGGTTAGGGCTGACTTGGCAGCCACTAGAGGAGGGGTCTGAGGTGACTACGTGAACAGTAGCCTCCTCCATTTTTTCCTTACGTTTTTGGCTTGATGGTTCTTCTTCTGTTTTTTTTACGTTTTGCTCTCTTGTAGCCCATTTTACGTTTTGTTCTTTTGGAGTTGCCATTTTCGTTTGACCTCTTCTTCTCTGGTTGTGGAACTTGAACATTTACATTTGAAGAATACATTGCATTTTCGTTTATCTTCTCTGCCTTGCATTTTCGTTTCCATTTTCGTTTCATCTTCGTTTCCATTTTCGTTTCTGTTTCTGTTGTATTTTAATGGAAGGCTAAAAATCCCTGGGTTGGCTTCTTGTTGTTGATTATAATCTCTGTTTGAGGTTCAGTTATGGTTGTATATCTCTGTTCTGCTTTGTCTTCTTCATTTAACCTCTGTATCAATGTCACAGTTGCTTAATCTGTGAAGAGGTTGATGTTGTATACGTTTGCTTAATTCGTGTAGGAAAATCTTGAGTTAATCTTCGCTTAGTTGGTTAACTCGGATGGAACAAGGATTAAGTGGTTAATAGAGTAATCTTTTGAGAACCAGGGATAAGAGAGTTATAATCCAAACAAGGAGCCAATCCATTTTACTTGCTGTGTTATCTGTATTTATTGTGTTACAAACTGAAAATCCGAAAACAAACCCCCCCATCGCGTGTTTAAGCCTTTAGCAGTAAAGGACGGTCCTTGGGAGACGACCTAGGAGTCACTTCCTAGTACTACATTTACTTGTATTTATTTGACCGGATACAGCTTCGATCAAATTTGGCGCCGTTGCCGGGGATCTTCGGTTGCTGTTATATTCTGTGTGTTTGTGTGTTATTTGTTTTGTTGTGTGTTTTGTGTTTTAGAGCTCTGATATGTTATGTGTGTAGTGTATTAGTGTATCAGTGTTAGTGTATCAGTTTCTGTTTGAATTTTGTATGAATTTTGTGTATCAGTTGGTGGTTGCGTTTTTTTGTGTGTCATTACATGTTATGAGTTTTTGTGTTTGTGTTTTAGAGCTCTGATATGTTATGTGTGTCATTACATGAATTTTATGTTGTGTAAACCAATGGAACAGTAACTGGAATTTTGGTGCATTTGCTGTTATGTGTTTGTGATAACTGATCTTTATTACATTTCATAACTCATTGTCCAATTATATTGATTCCATTTGGTGTGCTAAATCATTGTTGTGTTGTGTTGTGTTGAGTTTCAATTCGTCCATAAGTGTAGACATCAAAATATGGTGCGTTTTTTTTTTGGCTCAAATTCTGGTGCATGTGGCTAAAAATCTGGTGCATTTTGGCTCAAATTCTGGTGCGTTTTTCCCCGGTTTTGGTGCGTTTTTTGGTCCAGTTTGGTGCATGCTCTGTTTCGGTTTGGGCATGCTCTGTTTTCTCTCCCTCCTACTCCTCTGTTCGGGTTCTAAAATTGGGGGAAATTGGTGCGGAAGTGGTCCAATTTTGGTGCACAAATCTGGTGCACAAATCTGGCCATAACTTTTGCTCTGGTTATCGGAATTAGGCAAACTTTTTTTTTCATTTAGTGTAGAAAATTAAGATCTATCCAACCCACACTGCTTTTCCATGTGGCCCCACCCAGATCTTCAAAAAAGGGTCGTTTACTATTTTTTTTCTATTTTTGAAGTTTTATTTCACTATTTCTCCAAACTTTTCTAATTCTTTAAAAATAGTTAGGTTTGAATTTTGTTCTCAATTTTTTTGTGGTAGTGTCTTATGATTTTAGGATGATGTTGGTGCATTAGTTTTGATATTTTCTGAGTTTTCATGGAAATTCCCTTTTTACCCCTACTGTTCACGTGTCCTGATGCATGTGTTGGATGTAGTGCATGACTAGGAGCAACCCTGGTTATTTGCATCCATTTGATCCTGAGATTGATAGAACATTCCATAGATTAATTAGAGAGCATATCATTCAATCTTTAGAAAGTTTTAGCCATAGTTATAGTGATAGTCATAGTGTTAGTGATAGTGTAAGTGTTGCATCTGAAAACATGGGTGAACATAATGGACCTCGAGAGAGAGAACACTTAGGGAGATGGCTGCACCTGATTTCACGTATGAGAGTCTATGCATTCAATATCCTGAGGAAGATATTCCTTTTGTGCTCAAAACTGGACTAATCCATTTGTTGCCTAAGTTTCATGGTCGTGCAGGTGAGGATCCACACAAGCATCTCAAGGAGTTCCACATAGTTTGTTCCACCATGAGGCCACCTAATGTCCCTGAAGATCACATCTACCTGAAGGCATTTCCTTTTTCATTAGAGGATCTTGCCAAGGACTGGTTGTATTATCTGGCTCCTGGTTCAATAACAGGTTGGGATGACTTGAAGAGAGTGTTCCTCGAAAAATTCTTCCCTGCATCCAGGACCACTGCCATCCGGAAAGACATATCTGGAATTAGGCAAATCATGGGGGAGGGCTTTTACGAGTACTGGGAAAGATTCAAGAGGCTGTGTGCTAGCTGCCCTCACCATCAAATTTCTGAGCAGCTATTACTGCAATATTTCTATGAGGGGTTGAACATGATGGATAGAAGCATGATTGATGCAGCTAGTGGATGAGCTTTAGGAGATATGACACCTGCTTCTGCTAGAGGGCTGATTGAAAAAATGGCGTCCAACTCACAATAATTCAATATGAGGAGTGATGCCATAGTTGTGAGGGGTGTGCATGATGTGGTAGCCCCAGATTCCACAGAACATAAGAAGCTGGAGAGTAAGATTGATGCTCTCACCACCTTGGTTTCACAACTGGCTGCAAATCAAAAATCAGCTCCACCACCAGCAAAAGTATGTGGCATCTGCACTTCAATTAATCATCCAACAGATGCTTGTCCCTCCTTGCAAGACTCTTCTGGCCCTGATGCCCCACAAGCCTATGCTGTAAATATCTACAATAACAGACCAGCGCAACAACAACAGCAGCAGAGTTATGACCTCTCCAACAATAGGTACAATCCAGGTTGGAGAAATCATCCTAATCTCAAATGGTCTAACTAGCAGCAGCAGCAACAACAACAGTGCCAACACCCACCCCCTCCCTACCAAAACAATGCAAGTCCTAGCAGATATGTACCTCCTCCTATCCAACAATAGCAACAGAGACAACACGAAGCTCCTGCACCACCAGCTCCTCAACCTGCTACTTCTGAGCCTTCATTGGAGGAGCTGGTCAGGTAGATGACTCTGCAAAACATGCAATTCCAGGAAGAGACAAGAGCTTCCATTCAGAGTTTGACAAATCAAATGGGTCAGATGGCTACTCAGCTGAATCAGGCACAGTCTCAAAATTTAGACAAGTTGCCTTCACAAACTGTGCAGAATCTGAAAAATGTGAATGCCATCACCTTGAGGTCTGGAAAATAAGTTGACATACCACCACCTACAGCTGTTGTACCCCCACCTGAGCCTACAGTTGAGAAAGAGGGTCATTCAGGTCGTAGCAAAAATTTACATGCAGGTGGACCTTCTTCCAGTGCACACAGCGATGATCTACATCAGCCTCCTATCCCTCTTCCATTTCCACCAAAATCAATTCCAAGCAAAAAGATGGAAGAGGTGGATAAGGAGATCTTGGAGACTTTCAGGAAGGTGGAGGTGAACATACCTCTGCTAGATGTCATCAAGCAAATTCCCAGATATGCAAAATTCTTGAAGGAGCTAATATAAAATACAAAAGCTTCCCTAATAAGCTATTCTAACACTCCCCCTCAAGCTGAAGCATACAGATTGTATGCACCAAGCTTGGAACATAAGAACTGAATGCGAGGCCCCCTCAATGATTTAGTCATAACATCTGCAAGTTGTTCATTGGATGTGACAAATTTGGTAACAATTTCCTTAGATAGCAACTTCTCTCTAACAAAATGACAGTCAACTTCTATATGTTTAGTTCTCTCATGAAATACTGGATTGGAGGCAATGTGGAGTGCAGCTTGATTATCACAATACAACTTCATTGGATGACCTTCACAAAACTTTAACTCTTGAAGAAGTTGCTTAATGCACATAAGTTCACAAGTAATTAAGGCCATAGCACGATATTCAGCCTCAGCACTGGATCGAGCAACAACATTTTGCTTCTTACTCTTCCAAGATATGAGATTTCCACCTAGGAACACACAGTAGCCAGTAGTAGAGCGTCGGTCTATAGGACAACCAGCCCAATCAGCATCACAATAGCCAGAAATTTGGCTGTCTCCTTTGTCCTCATACAACAATCCTTGTCCTGGTGCCTTTTTGATATATCTAAGGATACGTAAAACAGCATTCCAATGATCAATATGAGGGGCCTGCATGAATTGACTAACAATCCCTACTGCAAAAGAAAGATCAGGTCTTGTGATTGTGAGATAAATAAGCTTCCCAACCAATCTTCTATATCTCTCTGGGTCTGTGAACAGTTCACCTTGATCAGCCATCAACTTTTGGTTAGGATCCATAGGACTATCAATGGGCTTGCAATCCAACATGCCAGTTTCCTTCAAGATATCAATAGCATATTTTCTTTGTGAAATCACAATGCCTTCCTTTGATTGAGCAACCTCAATACCCAAAAAATATCTCAGATGCCCAAGGTCTTTGGTCTGGAACTGACTAAACAAATGTTTCTTCAATTGAGAGATTGTAGTTGCATCATTCCCTGTAATCACTATGTCATCAGACCAAAGACCTTGGGCATCTGAGATATTTTTTGGGTATTGAGGTTGCTCAATCAAAGGAAGGCATTGTGATTTCACAAAGAAAATATGCTATTGATATCTTGAAGGAAACTGGCATGTTGGATTGCAAGCCCATTGATAGTCCTATGGATCCTAACCAAAAGTTGATGGCTGATCAAGGTGAACTGTTCACAGACCCAGAGAGATATAGAAGATTGGTTGGGAAGCTTATTTATCTCACAATCACAAGACCTGATCTTTCTTTTGCAGTAGGGATTGTTAGTCAATTCATGCAGGCCCCTCATATTGATCATTGGAATGCTGTTTTACGTATCCTTAGATATATCAAAAAGGCACCAGGACAAGGATTATTGTATGAGGACAAAGGAGACAGCCAAATTTCTGGCTTATTTGTTTTAAGTTCTACCAAAGATGCTTTAATTAATATAGTTAACATGATATGGGCAAAAACTGTTTGTTTTTATGAATTCAAATATCCTTCTTGTAAATTATGATCATCATAGTTAAAAATTTGAGAAATAATTAAAGTCTCTTTCCTTAACAATATTCTATACCTTTATAATTTTTTCTATAAAATTTTATTTATGTATCCAAAATGTATATCTTAAATTTCAAAAAAATTGTCATATCCCCATATCTGTGTCGTATTGTACCCATGTCATATCAAGTATTTGGGCTTCATAGACAACAATATTTGTCTTATTTTTAGCAATTTATGGCATATAAGGGTTTTCTGAGCCAAACAACTAGCACACACACCCCCTCAATAAAACAGGTGTCAAGCACAAAAATTGTCATCTCATTGAAACCACTAGGATTCATTACTTGATTGAGTATATAAAAACATACAATATAGGCTGAAAAGGCTAAGAGCCTAGGACTGCTCATCAGACATACAAAAAGAAGATAATATAAAATACAAAAGCTTCCCTAATAAGCTATTCTAACACTAGAAGTACAAAAAAATTTGACTTGCAGGTTGAGGTACAGGCTGCGGAACCCCTTCTCCCTTCTTTGGTTCCTTCAGATGTTCAGCCAGCACCCACACCAGAGTTGAAGCCTCTCCCAGAGAACCTCAAGTATGCATACTTGGAGGATGATGAGAAGCTGCCAGTGATCATCTCCACCTCCCTTGATGTTGTTCAAGAGGAAAAATTGTTGCAGGTTCTAAAAAAGCACAAGAAAGCCATCGGTTGGACCCTGGCAGACATTCCTGGCATTAGCCCATCCACATGCATGCACAGAACATTATTGGAGGATGGAGCTAAACTAGTGAGACAGCCCCAGAGGCGACTCAACCCTGTCATTTTGGAAGTTGTCAAGAAAGAGGTGACCAAGCTTCTTCAAGCTGGGATCATCTATCCCATTTCAGACAGTCAATGGGTGAGTCCGGTCCAGGTGGTCCCCAAGAAGACAGGCCTCACTGTTGTCAAGAATGAAAAGGATGAGCTCATCCCCACTAGAGTGCAAAACAGTTGGAGGGTCTGTATTGACTACCGGAGGCTCAACCAAGCAACAAGGAAGGATCATTTTCCTCTGCCCTTCATTGATCAGATGCTTGAGCGTCTGGCAGGTAAATCTCATTACTATTTTCTTGATGGGTTCTCTGGTTATTTTCAGATTCATATTGCTCCTGAGGATCAGGAGAAGACCATATTCACCTGCCCTTTTGGCACTTTTGCCTATAGAAGGATGCCTTTTGGCCTATGCAATGCCCCTGGCACATTCCAGCGGTGCATGCTCAGCATTTTTAGTGATTTTCTTGAAAATTGCATAGAGTTGTTTATGGATGATTTTACTGTTTATGGATCCTCTTTTGATGCATGTTTGGATAGTTTGGATAGATTTCTGAATAGATGCATTGAGACTAACCTTGTTCTTAATTTTGAGAAATGTCATTTCATGGTTGAGCAGGGTATAGTTTTAGGGCATATTATTTCTAGTAAGGGCATAGAAGTAGATCCTGCAAAAGTTTCTGTTATTTCACAGTTGCCTTACCCCTCTTGCGTGCGAGAGGTTCGATCTTTTCTTGGCCATGCAGGTTTCTATAGGCGATTTGTCAAAGAATTCAGCAAGAAGGCCCTTCCACTATCCAATCTACTACAAAAAGATGTTGATTTTGTTTTTGATGACAGGTGTAAGCAGGCTTTTGACTGCCTCAAGGAAGCACTCACCACCACTCCAATCATTCAGGCACCTGATTGGACAGTCCCATTTGAGCTGATGTGTGATGCATCTAATTATGCATTGGGGGCTGTCCTGGCACAAAGAGTTGACAAGTTGCCCAGAGTGATATATTATGCTTCCCGGACTTTGGACGCTGCTCAAGCAAACTACACTACCACAGAGAAAGAGCTTCTGGCCATTGTTTTTGCTCTTGATAAATTTAGATCTTATTTGCTTGGTTCTCGTGTTATTGTTTATACTGACCATGCAGCTCTGAAGTACCTGTTGAAAAAGGCTGACTCAAAGCCTAGGCTGATCAGATGGATGCTCTGGCTTCAAGAGTTTGACTTGGACATCCGTGACAGGAGCGGAGCACAAAACATGGTGGCAGACCATCTCAGCAGGATTGAGAGAGCTGAGAATAGTGCTGAAATCTTACCCATCCAGGATAATTTTCCTGATGAAAATTTGTTAACTATTTCTTCTATTTCTTCTTCTACCACCCCTTGGTTTGCAAACATTGTTAATTTTTTAGTTGCTTCTGTTTTTCCTCCCTTAGCATCACGAGCTCAAATTGATAAAATTAAGAGTGATGCTAAGCATTATATTTGGGATGACCCCTATTTGTGGAAGTTGTGTAGTGACCAGGTCATTAGGAGATGCATACCAGATCATGAGATTGATTCGGTCCTGCAATTTTGTCACTCTTCTGCACCAGGTGGCCATCTAGGCATTCAGAGGACAGCTCGCAAGGTGCTTGATTGTGGTTTTTACTGGCCCACCATCTTCAGGGATGCGTGGAAGATTTGCAGCACTTGTGAGCAGTGTCAGAGAGCAGGAGGAGCCCTTTCTTTGAGACAGCAGATGCCTCAGCAACCCATGTTATTCTGTGAGGTTTTTGATGTCTGGGGTATAGATTTCATGGGTCCTTTTCCTGTCTCTTTTGGTTTTTCATATATTCTCCTAGCTGTTGATTATGTTTCAAAATGGGTGGAAGCCAAAGCCACCAGAACTAATGATGCTCGGGTTGTTGTGGATTTTGTCAGATCTAACATATTTTGCAGGTTTGGAGTACCCAGAGCTATTGTTAGTGATCAGGGCACCCATTTTTGTAACAGATCCATGCAGGCTTTGCTCAAGAAGTATGGGGTAGTGCACAGAATTTCTACACCCTACCATCCCCAGACTAATGGGCAAGCAGAGATTTCAAATAGAGAGATCAAGAGGATCTTAGAGAAGATTGTCCAGCCCAACAGGAAAGATTGGAGCAATAGGCTGGAGGATGCTCTCTGGGCGCATAGGACTGCCTACAAAGCACCTATAGGGATGTCTCCTTATCGGGTTGTCTTTGGTAAGGCATGTCATTTACCTGTGGAGATAGAGCACCGAGCCTACTGGGCTGTGAAGACCTGCAACTTCTCTATTGATCAGGCTGGAGAGGAAAGAAAGTTGCAACTGAGTGAGCTTGATGAGATCCGCCTTGAAGCCTATGAGAACTCTAAGTTCTACAAGGAGAAAACCAAGAAGTTCCATGACAGCTTGATAGCTAGGAAGGACTTCGTGGTTGGCCAGAAAGTTCTCTTGTACAATTCTCGGCTCGGACTCATGGGTGGTAAGTTACGTTCTAAGTGGATTGGACCTTTTGTTGTTACTAATGTTTTTCCTTATGGTACAATTAAGGTCAAAAGTGAATCCACAGACAAGAGCTTCAAAGTTAACGGGCACCGTCTGAAGCCTTTCCTCAGCAATCCATCCCTGTTGAATGCAGTTGAAGAGGAGATGTCTCTGCTCGACCCCGCTACTCTCCCATCATGACTTAGGGAGTTTTCTTTCTCCTTCTCCTTCTTTACTTTTATTGCACTTGTCCAGATTTATTGATTGTTCTGACTGCTCTGATCTTCTTTTTGGGCCACATTAGGACAATGTGTGATTTGAGTGTGGGGGGAACTATTTTGGTTACATGCTTTTAGGGTTTATCTGTTATTTTAAGTTTTATGTTTAGGTGTTCTGTACAGCTTTGCATGTTTCTCTGTGAATTCTGGGTTTTGATTGTTTGTAGGCACTTACTTCATTCTTGGATAGGAGTTTCTTGATACTATATGGTTTGAAATCCCTGTTTTTCTCTGCTTGGAAAGATGATTTTGAGGTTTGAGAGGTTGTTTTAATTGTGACAGATATACCCTGTGTGAGGATTTGAGCCACTCTCTGTTCTTACTTGTGTGTTATGCCTCTTGATTGCCTGCACAGTTGCCTTGTCTTGACTCTTTTTGATACTTCTTGATTCACATGCATGTTTGGATATGATTAAGGCATTTTTGTTCTTATAAGCCTCTGGCCAAATAAGCTTACCCTGAATTATCTCCTCTGATAACCCCTGCTGAGCCTATTTCCCCTTCTTTGTTTGAAGCTCATTACAAGCCTTAAGCGAAAAACCATGATTACCTTAACCTTAGGGAGTTTTGGAGCTTTGGAATTGTTTTGGGAATAAGTTCTTGAATAAGTGTGGGGGTGTGTGTGTGTTTCATTGGATGATGTATATTGCCTAGTTGATTCCTTATGTTGTACACTTTACTTCTTTACATGTTATCTCATTTCAAATTTTCGTGTGTACTGTTCACTATGTA